ATATTGTAACTTTGCTTTCCAAACCTAAATGTCTTTGCTCTGGGATTCTGTTGCCTGATGGGCTACAAAGGGAAAGAGGTTTAGATTTCTTTGGGTGTGAAGGGGACCTTCTGAGTGGCATTGGAAGTGAAAGCAGAGTCCCCAGTTGGGCACAACTATGGAGCCACCTTGTCTCTGTTGTACATCCAGTGATTTGGTGGCAGTTAAACTCCTGTGTTTAACCATGTGTGCTTGATGTAGAGTAGGAAAAACTTTTAAAAACCTTGAACAAAAGCAGTTCTGAGCCAGCTGGAGACTATCATTGCCTCTCTCATTTTTTGACATTGGAATGCTGATCTAAGTGAGACTGGTTAAAGAGTATGTTCCAGAAACAAGGGACCTTCTTTTGTTTTTTGTTTAACTCCTAAGACCTCAGGCACATGCCACCTTTCCAACTTGCTTCCTTGTTATGCCACTTCCCTCACCTTTGTTCTTCTTCCAGCCACCCTGCCCTAATTCCTCCAGCCCCCACATTGAGCCTCTGCTCACAAGGCTCCCTCTATCTGGAACTTGCACCCCCCCACTGCATAGTGAATCATTGTTTATTTGGCAAGGCCCTGCTCAAGGACTTAAATTTTTCTCTTGACCTTCCTTCTGCAATTTGGGCCCTGCTGTGGTAGGTACTCACTTCTAATATCTCATACTAGGGATGTGCCATCTCAGTTGCTCATAGTTCATTTCTATCGCCTATGGGATAGAATACTGGGTAAGAACTTAGCCCCTGCAGCCAAGTTGCATGGTTTGAAGTTCCAGATCTTCCACTTACTCTGCGTGTAATCTTGGGCAAGTCACTTAACCTCTTAGTGCCTCAGTTTTCTCATCTCTAAAATGGCAATGATATAACACACTTGATGTTATAGAATTTTTGTGAGGATTAAACTATTTATTATAAGGAAAGTATCTGGCAAGGAGTAAGTTGCTTGTGTTATGATACTAATCTGAAAGTCCTTTGTGGGCAATGATCTCATCTTATTTGTTTTTGATCCACGATGGATGGTCTAAGGCAGAGCTGAGAAATGTTTATAGAATAAATGAATGCTTAGGGCATCATTCTTCTGTTTTTGAGTTCAATTTTACTTCAGTTGCCCACACATTCCTAGAATCTGAAAAGAAATGGCAGGAATGATTCTTAGAAATAGAAATAGGTGAGGTGAGAAACATATTTACCATTATTGAGGCAAATTGATCATCAGCATCTGGAGGTGATCCCATGTAGGATGTTATTCTAAAAATCAACTTCATCATTTTCTTCTTCTGCCATTCTCTCCTTTATCAGCTAGGACTTTTTCGTATCTATGTAATGGTGCTTTTAGCTTAACTTATCAGCTCTTGTTAGTTCATTTATTCCCTAAAATGCCACGTTGATTGGATTAGCCAAACACTTACACACGTATGGCCTGGTTCATGTGGCCTAATCTTTATATCATAATACTGCCCTGCAATGTTTGAAACAGCCAGTTAGTTTATTTTTTAAGATTTATTTTTTTATTTATGCATACAAGAACTGGAGTGTAAGCTAGAAATGAGAGGGTGGTGAGAGGATTCACCAGAGACAGAGTGGGGAGCAAAACAGGCGGATCTACTGAAATATACTGCTGAGGGGAGCAGCGGGTGAGATAGGAGGGTTAGCTCCCTGGCCAGGGATCGAACTCATGCCACAGTGGCTGGCGATAACTCCTGCACCACTAGAGAGTCCCCGCAGCCAGTTAGTTTTTAAGTTTCTTTTTATCTACCAGGGGGAGGGGGCAGGAACATATATAATAGTTTCTTGATTTTCCTTGTATATTTTATTAATTACCTCTTGTATTTTTGACCTCCATTTTTTCTGCTAGCCAGAAAGATTACTGGTTTCTGAAACCAAATGTACCTAAGATCACGAGAATCCATTAATATCCCATCTGCTAGTTTACATTCTGTATTCCCTATATATTTCATGATGTCATTTACTCAAGTTCATTTTTTTTAATCTGACCCTTATTGCTTTGGCCTCAGAAGCTTAGGCTTGAAAAAAAAATCTAGTACCTATTCTATCTCACTATTTGCTATTTTACTTCAGGCTTTTGTAATTTTGGACTAGATTTACCTCTAAATCTCTAACCAGCTTCTCGTCAATCCACACTGCTGCCAAAACAGTATTTTTATAAACCAGATCTTGGATTATAAGATGATCTTAAAATGTGTGTTTTCTGATCTGTGCTTTAATCATTTAAAATCTATTTATTTATTTATTTATTTATTTATTTATTTATTTATTTATTTATTTATTTATTTATTTATTTATTTATTTATTTATTTATACAAGCACTGGGTACGGTCAGAAGCGCGGGAGGGTGAGAGAATTCACCAGAGCCAGAGCGGGGAGCAGAGCAGGCAGACGACCGAAGTACACTGCTGAGGGGAGCAGCGGGTGGCAGGAGAGGTCTGCGCGCCATGTGGGACCCTCCTCTGGTGGCCGGGGAGCAGCCGGGGATCGAACCGGTGCTGCAGAGGCTGCGGGGGCAGCTTCGCAACCCAGCGCTCAACCGCTGCGCCACCGGGGAGGCCCTGTGCTTTAATCATTAAAAAAAAAAATGTTTCCTGTATTAAATTTTCCATTATTTGTAGTTATTAAAATGTGCTTAATATAACTGTATACTGGGCATGTAGAGGAAATGTTGACAAACCAAGATATTCATGAGGATCCTGAGCTGAGAACAGTTTAAGAAAGGTCCATGAAAATATAACTTAACATGGGGCTAAGGGAAGAAATTCCAAAAGTAATTGTTTTATGGGTGAATTTATTGTGGACTATTGACAATGTCCCTATCTTGATTCACGGGTAATGTTTCCGTCTCTCTGACAAAAAGCAATAGGGAAAGGCAAGAGAGAGAGTTTAGATTATTTTCAGGAGAGACGTCTATACTGGAGAGATACATTTGAGAGCCAATAGCTGATATTCGAAGCTACGGATGAGGTCACTAAGGTGTGAAACAGATGTGGAGAGGAGAGGGTGTGAATGCTAAGGGACTGCAGAGCACCTGGGGCGGGAAAGCTGCTGTGAAGGAGCACCAGCAGGCCGGCGTCTGGCTGAAGGCAGGCAGTGTGAGAAGAGGAGTGAGTCTGTTGCTGGGGGACACCACTGGAAACTTAAGTGAGATGGGAATTGAGAAGCGAAGATTGGGTCGGAGCTGAGAGGGAGTTGCGCCGCCAAGGTCAGCTGTGGGCGCAGGGAAAACAAACAGCAGGCGCTGTTGTTGCAAGACAGAGAATGCAGGTCGGGGACCCCACAAAACCTCTGTGGAACCGAGAGAGGGCCGGTCCTGCAGAAAGAGGTGAGCGGGAAAGGGGGAAGCAAAGCCCCTGCGCCATTGTGGCAAGACAGGGAGTTGCAGGACAGGGCCCTCAAGATCCTGCTCTGGAGCTAAGCAAGTGCAGAGGGAGGGGATCTTCAGGGACAGCGCGCATCACTGTATCCACAGCCACCGCTCTAGTGGAGTTTTGGCATAACAGTGCTGGACTCCATCTGGTCACCAGCTTCCCACATCCCAGAAGGAGCACCCCGAAGAGATGCCCCCCAGTACCAGCGGCACAGTGTCCCAGCACATTGGACAAACTCATGCCATTCGCAGCGACATGGATGGAGCTTGAAGGAATTATGCTCAGTGAAATAAGTCAGAAGGAAAGAGAAAAATACTGGACGGTTTCACTTATAGGAGGAATATAGGGGATCAAGGAAACAACAACAACAACAACAACAACAACAACAACAACAACACAATGAAACAAAACAAAAATAAACAGACAACTATAAATCAGAGACATTCTGCAGGGGAGGAGGAGGGAAAGGGATCAAAATGAGGGCGGCAGGAGCACAAGGCACTACGGTGATGGAGCACGGGTGAATTGGTGGAGGAAATTCTATGGGGACTACACCTGAGGAAAAAAAGCAAATATCATAAGAATTAATACATAAATAAATAATAAATAAATAGAAAGAAGGGAAGATTGGATTTGGGACGTGGAGGTCCGTTTGGCCAGAGCTGTCATGTTCAGTCCTGATTTTAGCGGGTTCAAGAGAGGAGGATCAGAGACAATGATCTGAAAGACTATTTGCCAGAACTTTTAATTAAAAAGAAATGGAGAAATTGGGAAGCAGTTGAAAAGACAAGGGGGACCCAAAGTGTTTTCTTGGGGGAGTGTGGCTTCGGAGGCTTCGGAATGTTCCTGTGGCCTGGGAATAATGTATACAGCTTTAAAGCTTTTATTTGACTTTGAGGGGCAGAGAAAATGTCAGAAAATATGAGGAGTAGAGATATTTCTATGCACTTATGGGACATTTAAATGGCCTGTAATTGAAGAAAGAAGTAGTTCGCTTCGTCTTTCCCATGTGGAATGGGCCAGCTTCTCTGAGGGCTCTGTAGGGAGCAAGAGCCGGCAGATGGACTTTGCTTGCTCTGGTGGCCTCTGCTTACTTTGCCCCTCCATGCTGGGTCCTGTCCTTCGTCGTGATTGGTCAGGGACTTCATTGTTTCCCTGACTGGCCACACATAGATGGAAATAATATTGCCAAGACCCAGTGGATGCCTTA